AAATAAATTAAAAATACAGTAGAACATTTGTAAGTTGACAAACGCAGGGACTGTAACAAACTGGTCAACATAAGAGAACTAGGCCTATTGTACTGATATGCAGACATGGTACATGTCAGGTCTATAAAAATTAGGTCAATATAAGGAGATGGTCAATGTAGGGAGGTGGTCTACTATGGAAGTTCTACTGTATACAATACCAAGTACTGGCAAAATTCTGTAATAACTAAACTAACATAATTCCTGGTAAGAGTGTAAAGTGGTATGATCACTTCTGTAATTTGGTAGATTTGACTAAAGATAAACACGTGCATATCCTAAGACTCAACAATTCCACTTCTAGATACATACACAAGTAAAATGCATTAATTTTCCACCTAAAAGTATACCAAAAATGTCCATAATGTAAAGACACCCATGTTCATGGACTGAAAGACTCTGAGTATCCTTAAAATGTCCATAATATCCAAAGAGACCTACAGAATCAACACAATCTCTATCAAAATCTCAATGGTATTTTTTGAAGAAACAGGAAAAAAAAAATTCCTAGCTGGATTTGGTGGCTCACACATGTAATCCTAGCACTCTGGGAAGCCAAGGCAGGAGGACTGCTTGAGCTCAGGAAGAGTTCAAGCTACCCCATCTCTGTTATTAATGGAAAAATTATCCTGGCAAGGTGGTGTGTACAGTCCCAACTTCTCTGGAGGATGAGGCAAAAGGATCGTGTAAGCCTAAGAATTTGAGTTTGCTGTGAGTTATGATGACACCATGGTACTCTAGCCTGGCAATACAATAGTGTGAGACTGTCTCAAAAAAAAAAAAAAAAATCCTAACATTTAGGAAATTTCAAAGAACCTCAAATAGCCAAAACAATCTTGAGAAAGAAAAACAAAGCTGACAGACTCATACTTCATAATTTCAAAACATTACAAAGCTATACTAATTAAAATAGTATTTTACTGGCATAAAGACATACTGGTTGCTAGGGGGTAAGAAAGGAAGAAATGAGGATACAATGTTAAATAGGTATAAAGTCAGTTTTGAAAGACGAAAAAGTTGTAGAGATCTGTCCAGGAGTTCAAGGCAATAGCCATGTATTCCCTCCATTCAGCTTAGACAACAAAGCAAGAGCCTGTCTCCAAAAAATAAAACAAAAGAATGACAAAGACAGTCACATTGACCACTATTATTCAACTTACTTGGGAAGGTTCCAGGGAATACTTAACAAATTTAATAAAATAATCCATATATTTGAAAGTATATCATTGAATACAAAATTCAAAAGATTAATAAAATATTACATTTTTGTAGTTGTACACAAAGTTTTCAAAATGGAAAGAACAGTATTGAGCTACACAAAAAAACCAATTGCTGTTCACTGTACTAGCAGTATCAAGTTACAAATGAAAACAAGGAAAAAAAATTCCCATTCATAATGGTAACAAAGACTAAGTTAATGTCAGCTATATATACTAATATTTGCCATAACAGTTGTAGTTGCTTAGGAAGTTAGTTTTTTTACTCACATAAAGTGTAAATGTAGGAATTCCAGATCTGGAATGGTGATACAAAGTTATTAGACTCAAGCTATCTGTTAGGAAAAAGCTCTCAAATTCCTTCAGGCTACAAAAAAAATTTTTTAAAGGAGAAAACAATATATCCATGGAGATATGTACCAACAGTTCTATACAACACTTCTACCTACATCTCATTTGCTTAAGACTTAATTATATGACCACATCTAGCTATAAGGAAGAATAGAAAAGCAGTTATTTAATCTGCATGGCAATGTGCCCAGATAAAAATTAGAGCCTGTTACTAAAGAAAATGGAAAGAATCGTATTGAGCTATGCAAAAAATACTCTCTGCCAGTAATAACTGAAATTAAATTTAAAAGGAAAATCATACGTTTTATAAAGTATGAAACTTTTTCATTAACTGTCAATGGACATAAAATAAGACCTAAAACATGGAATCACAGGTCATATTCCCAGATAGAAAATCACAAAATATATTTTATATTAACGTATAACTTTAACATAATTCTAATCAGAATCCCTAAGATGTTGTAAGGTTAGAGGATGAGAGATTCTTTGTTTCAGAGCTAGAGAAAATAATTTATAGTTCACATGGAAGAAGACCCATTCAGAACAAGCTAAAAGAATTTTTTCCAAGCTGTATTAATAACACCTAGGCCAGGTATGGTGGTTCATGTCTATAATCCTAGCACTTTAGGAGGCTGAGGTGGGAAAATTACTTGAGATCAGGAGTTTAAGACCAGCCTGAGCAACATCAATACTATCTCTACAAAATAAAAGAAAAATTAGCTAGGCATGATGATGCCTACTAGTCCCAGCTACTCTGGTAGGGGATAAGGGTAGGGGGGAAGGAGTGAAGGAGGAGGATCACTTGGGCCCAGAAAGTTTGAGTTCACAGTGAGCTGTAATGATGCCACTGTACTCTAGCCAGGCAACAGTATGAGACCCTGTCTAAAACAAAAAAACTTCCTTAAATAGAATGACATTATGTCCCAGTGTGCCTGAGACAGTCATGATTTGGAATAACTATTCCAGCATCCAGTATAGTTTAACAACTTCATTAAAAAATTATTAATAGTTGGGGCAGCGCCTGTGGCTCAAAGGAGTAGGGTGCTGGCCCCATATGCTGGGTTCTAATCCAGCCCTGGCCAAAAACTGTAAAAAACAAACAAAAAAATTATTAATAGTTGCATTGAAATAAACCAGAATGAATTTAATAGATCAAATTTTTCTCATTTACTCTCTAGATTTGTTCATCCTACACATCTTCTGTCTTGTTTCCTTTGGCCTTCATCTTTTTGCCTTAATTGAACCTGGTCCACTTCTCTCAAAGAGTTCTCATGGAGAGGCTGTTTATTATCCTCCCAAATACCTATATCCCCCTGGTCCCAAACATCCATGGTAATCCCATGGTCTGGAAAGGGACGGCCACTCACCCTATAACTCACTTAACCCCAAAAACATATGAATAAAAATCATACCTTTTCTGAAACCCTCTTTTCTCATGGCTTCAGTTGTCAACTGTGTATGATACTGACTACTAAATTTCCCTGGTGATGTTAAAACCACTGACTGACATTTCCATATGGATGTTTCAGAGGAACCTCAAATTCTATATACAAATCTGAACCTGCTGTGTGGTCCAACTCTGTTCTTTCTATATTGTCTAAGAGAAATGAATGGTACTACCATTCATCTATCCAATTATCCAAGTTCAAGTCCCAAGTTCAAGTCACTGATAAAATCCCTTATTCAAACACTCAATTAATCATCAGTTACTATCAATTTTATTTTCTGTAAGTTCTCCTATTCCCTCCATCACATTACCACTGCCATAGTGCCAGTTATCATCCCTTACTAGATAGGATTACAGTAATAGCCTCTTAACTGCTTACTATCCTTCCAGTAGTGCATTCCTCTAATTCATTTTACAGCCACCAAATTTTAAGAACATTTATTTTTAAATCATGTGTTACCTTATGGTATATGAAT